AAACCCCGCCTCGGATAAACGAGGTCTTCTTAAAAAAAAACCGACCTGGCCCATCGGGCCGGTGCTGTCAATCTTTTGCAAAATATCCCTTTGGAGCCAAGCCTGTGGCAAAGCCAGGGTCTAGCTCCACTCTGTCCCAACCGGGGCAAGCCTGCATGGCGGCAAGGTCCCAAGCCGATCTTAAAAGCACCAACACCACCCTTGCCCTCAGGCAGGATGGTGGTGATGCCTCGATAGCCGCTGGAGGTGGACAGGCTGTCGGACGCTGTATCAAGACAAGTCAAGGGTGACACCCTCTCCACCTCAAGTGGCGGACTCGACGCTATGGCAAACCTTGCCAGTCTTCCTTCGGGAAGCTCTGCTGGCCATGTCCAAAGACAAGCCAGTTGTCCCCTCCCCAGCTGAGGTTCCTCCTAAAAAAGGAACATCGGCTTCGACGTTTGCGGAGTCGGCGCACATGACCAAGTCAATGAATCCCAACGCCTACCCTTTAGGCTGTACGCCGAAACCCCCTTCCAAGGAGATAGAAACCTCTGAGAGAAACTATCGCACCAGAAGATCAGCTCTGCGTATCACCGATAGGCTGAAAGATGTCAAGCAGGAGGACTTGACTGAAGAGCAACTGAGCTCGAAAGCTTGGGCAGAATCTTTCCTGGAGATTCACCGAGAGAAAGCGAAAGCAGACCTCCAAAAGCGGAAGCGCTCGGAGGAAGAAGCAACGACCTCGGGGAAGAGAAAAAGGCCTTCTAACACCCAGATGGCTGCACATAAGGAGCCTAAAAAATCCTTTGCCGATGCGGCAAGGGAATCGCTTGTCCGTGCTGTGATTGATCGGAATGCCTTTGATGGTGGGATCACACAGCAAAATTGGGACTTGGTAACCAGAAAGCTGTGGGCGGTATATCGCGAGGTTCTCCGAGATAACGTAGGACCTCCACCCTTCTGCTCAGACGCGGGTTGGTTACGGGGTGTCAAAATGATTAAGTGCGCCGATGAGAGATCTGCGCAGCTTTACAAGGCCGCAATCAATAAGATTGGGGAGCCCTGGCCAGGTGCACGACTAGATGTCGTGAAGAGGGAAGAGATTCCAAATCGCCCAAAATCCAGGGCATGGATCCCGGAATACCATGATGATTCGTCGGAGGTTCTGGGCTATATTCAGTTAGGCAATCCAGAGCTTCCAACTCACGATTGGAAGGTTGTAAAGCTGGACCTCCATGTGTATCGACAGGATATGTCGAAGGAAGCTCCCTCCGCAGAAACAGTTGGGGCCGCCGTGGAGGAGACCGAATGCCCTATGGACTGCGAAGTTGCGTCCAGCTGCGAAACGGTGGGTCAGCTCTTCGAGCGAATCGCCGTCAACGATGGGTCGGACGACACCGGACTGATTCACTTGGCGATGACGAAGACGCCAATTGTACGGTCATTGGGCGTCCGACTAGACAGATCGAAGATAATGGTGGGGATTCTACAGATTAATCTCCACCACAGCAAAGCGGCGTCAGCTGCACTACTCCTCCGTCTCGCTCAAAGAGAAGAGGAGATCGTGCTCAT